ACCAAACCTGTGTAAACTAGACACAACTAGGTCCCATTGTACCAGAACTGTGTAAACTAGACACAACTAGGTCCCACTGTACCAAACTTGTGTAAACTAGACACAACTAGGTCCCACTGTACCAAACTTGTGTAAACTAGACACAACTAGGTCCCACTGTACCAGAACTGTGTAAACCAGACATAAATAGGTACCACTGTACCACACCTGTGTAAACTAGACACAACTAGGTCCCACTGTACCAAACCTGTGTAAACTAGACACAACTAGGTCCCACTGTACCAGAACTGTGTAAACTAGACACAACTAGGTCCCACTGTATCAAACCTGTGTAAACTAGACACAACTAGGTCCCACTGTACCAGAACTGAGTAAACTAGACACAACTAGGTCCCACTGTACCAAACCTGTGTAAACTAGACACAACTAGGTCCCCACTGTATCAAACCTGTGTAAACTAGACACAACTAGGTCCCACTGTACCAAACTTATGTAAACCAGACACAACTAGGTCCAACTGGTAGGTCCCACTGAATCAAGCCTGTGTAAACTAGACACAACTAGGTCCCAATGTACCAAACTTATATAATCCAGACACAACTAGGTCCCACTGGTAGGTCCCACTGAATCAAACCTATCTTACTTAAACGGTGTAAACCTGACCTTAACTAAGCAACACTTTAACTAGGTCCCACAGTACAAACCTGTAGACAAGACCATAACAAAGGTCCCACTATACAAACCTTCTGTAAACCAGACCTTAATTAGATTCAACTGCAGAAAACTTCGAGGCTAGACCTTAACTTGATCTCAAAATATTTTTACATGTCATATAAATACCAACAACTAACTGTGTTTACTTTGTATTTAGTGATCCATGAAGTAAATTTACACTTCAATGAACCCAGTTTAGTTGCCATGGTATTGAGGGGACATGTTATTGTAATAAAATGATACACTCCTATACACATATGGTGTTTGATTCATCCATCATACCTGTAAAGATTGTATGTAGTTGGCAAGTGACTGGGATTTTATAAATGGAAGCGCTTGTGAAAGCATGAAAGAAATACCAACAGATGTTAATGTCAAAGTTTGTCATCAAAGTCAATGACAGTTCATGTCAAAGTTTGTCATCAAAGTCAACAACAGTTCATGTCAAAGTTTGTCATCAAAGTCAACAACAGTTCATGTCAAAGTTTGTCATCAAAGTCAACTACAGTTCATGTCAAAGTTTGTCATCAAAGTCAACAACAGTTGATGTCAAAGTTTGTCATCAAAGTCAACAACAGTTCATGTCAAAGTTTGTCATCAAAGTCAACAACAGTTGATGTCAAAGTTTGTCATCAAAGTCAACAAACGTTAATGTCAAAGTTTGTTACCAAAGTCAACGACAGTTCATGTCAAAGTTTTTTATCAAAGTCAACAACAGTTCATGTCAAAGTTTGTCATCAAAGTCAACTACAGTTCATGTCAAAGTTTGTTATCAAAGTCAACAACAGTTCATGTCAAAGTTTGTCATCAAAGTCAACAACAGTTCATGTCAAAGTTTGTCATTAAAGTCAACTACAGTTAGTGTCAAAGTTTGTCATCAAAGTCAACAACAGTTCATGTCAAAGTTTGTCATCAAAGTCAGCTACAGTTCCTGTCAAAGTTTGTCATCAAAGTCAACAACAGTTAATGTCTAAGTTTTTTTTTTTAGCAAAGTCAACTACAGTTCATGTCAAAGTTTGTTATCAAAGTCAACATATAATTCTATTTTATACATGGTGTCTTGGTATGTGGTATATATAGGTGTGATTGACAAGTGGGAATATCCCCTAACGGTCAGTTCGCGAATGGCTTTATGGAATATGAACCTATTACTACAACTCAACTTTTTTATGTCACCTGACTTGTTTACACTGTATAATTAAGTCTCGGAGACACGTTCAAGTTTCATGTATTCAGAACAATAGAACGGTTGACTTTTTCTTTAAATGGTAGTGATGTTAGTGTTAGCTATTCCTGTAGAACTTGGGTGGTACAGGATGTCTCCTGCACACTGTCGTTTACCAGGAGAGCCTATCTCTGAGGATCTTCTAACAGTCTTTCAGACGCCACATTTATTTCTTAATTCACTTGGTTGTGTAAGATGTACACGAGTCCTGCTCTGGGTCTGTACGTGACCAACTCAGGGAGATGGGTTTTAATACTACTGTACTTTGTTTGTGTATTCAGCAAGTTTACTAACAATTAAACTAAACAACTTTTTTCATCTTGTAAATAAATTAAGAAATAATCATCATTATTTTTTCAGTTAACTGTGATCAGATAGTATGTGAAGAAATTTCAAAAATTTTTCTCCAAAATTTAATTTTAGCTCAGTCAGAATAATTACAAAGTTTTTTTGCTAATATGCATGATCATTATTAATTGCTATGAATCTTTAAAGTAATTGTGGCGAATTGATAGCCTGCCTTTAAAATAGCTTTTTAGTATTACTTTTGGTAGTATGTGTGTACCCAACTGCTGCAGATTACAGACAACGTGACTTAATTACCATTACATATTAATGTCAACACTGATGATGTTTAAAAATTTGTCTGATAAATCATCAAAATTTCAGAAGTAATGAAACAGTTGTTTATGTAACTGACATAACAGTAGTCAGATGATATCGTATTTTTAAATGGTGTGGATGACACAAAAATTAAATTTACTTAATCAAACCAGATTTGATAAGAAATCCTGTAAGGCATCAGTATGTGTATATTAAGCACACTAATGAAGATATACAGATATTTTGTGTTAATTAGCACTGAAAGGTTTAATGAACATAAATTAATTATACAAAATATTTATGTAATTTATGGGATGATTTGATTCTGTTTACTAGTTATGAAACAGTTAACTGGTGTGAAAATTTAATGCATTTTCATAAGTTACGAAACAGTTGTATAACAGATTTGATATGGATATACAGATTGACGTCCCAAACTTGATGACAGAAGTTTTAACCCTGACATGTCACAGCTTTTACATCAACATGTCACAGTTTTCACACCGACATGTCAGTTTTTACACCGACATATCAGTTTTCACACCGACATGTCACTGTTTTTACACTAACATGTCACAGTTTTACACCGACATGTCAGTTTGTACAGCGACATGTCACTGTTTTTACACCGACATGTCACTGTTTTCACACCAACATGTCACTGTTTTTACATCAACATGTCACAGTTTTACACCGACATGTCAGTTTGTACACCGACATGTCACTGTTTTTACACCAACATGTCACTGTTTTTACACCAACATGTCACAGTTTTACACCGACATGTCAGTTTTTACACTGACATGTCACTGTTTTTACACCGACATGTCACTGTTTTTACACCAACATGTCAGTTTGTACACCGACATGTCAGTTTTTACACCGACATGTCACTGTTTTTACACCAACATGTCACTGTTTTTACACCAACATGTCACAGTTTTACACCGACATGTCAGTTTGTACAGCGACATGTCACTGTTTTTACATCAACATGTCACAGTTTTACACCGACATGTCAGTTTGTACACCGACATGTCAGTTTGTACACCGACATGTCACTGTTTTTACACCAACATGTCACTGTTTTTACACCAACATGTCACTGTTTTTACACCAACATGTCACTGTTTTTACACCAACATGTCACTGTTTTTACACCAACATGTCACAGTTTTACGCCCACATGTCACTGTTTTACACCGACATGTCACAGTTTTACACCAACATGTCACAGTTTTACACCAACATGTCACTGTTTTACACCGACATGTCACAGTTTTACACCGACATGTCACTGTTTTTACACCAACATGTCACAGTTTTACACCAACATATCACTGTTTTACACCAACATGTCACAGTTTTACACCAACATGTCACTGTTTTACACCGACATGTCAGTTTGTACAGCGACATGTCACTTTAATATATCATTGATGTGGAAATCACTGCATGAATCGTATCAAACAAGATATGACGACTGATTGATAAGTTGCGAGCCTTGTATTGAAGAATTAAGCAGGGATGTCCTTTTATAACATCTACTGTTCCCTGTTTAAGGCTGTGTACCTGAAGACTGATGTCATTTGATCAGTTCATGTCGAAGAGGTAGCACTCTAAAGTAAACATGGCAGGAGGCTGATAAAATGGACAAAATCGCTGAAAGAGCAGTAATTCAATATTTGCATCAGAAAGATCTAACACCTAAGGATATCCATACTGATATGGTAGTAACTCTAGGCAGATAAAGAGAAAATATTAAACTCAGGTGCCGCTGAAAACTCAGTAAAGGTGTGTTGTTCCACCATGACAATGCCTCTGTTCACAAGTCTGCCACTGCCATGACTGCCACAAACAATTGTGGCTTATAATTGATTGAACATCTGCTTTGTTCCCCTGATCTTGCTCCATCAGACTTTCATCCTGTACCCACTTTCAGTCAAATGATGATGTCATACATACTGTGGAGGACTTTGGACTTTCTGAACGCTCATGAAAAGGACTTCTTTAAAAGTGGCATTAATGCCTGCCCTGGTACTTAAACCATGAAAAAATTTATTCTTGAGGGGCTGACATGTTTTGGGTTTGAAAAGAGGGGTTTCTTTTCATTTTTCATGGAAAAACAGAATGATAGAAATGAAAATCTGCAAGCACTAAAAATTGCACACACACATACTCCTTGATCTTTCAATTCACAAAATGTAACTCTCACCAAACTTAATGTTTTTATGGTATTCCATCTGCATTCATCCTTTTAAGAAACTCACCCCAAACTTGCAGGTTATATGCATTGTATATTGTTGTATTAACATCAGCGATATTTAGCAGTTGTAACCACTCTCCTTTATTTCAAGTGAAAACAAAAAGTACTTAAGATTTTGAGTGCTCTATGATTTGTATTAGGTAAATCATTTTCTTGATGTGTTTTAAAAGTGATTTTTTTTGTGTATTGTAGATGGACCGACTGGCGGATCCTCAGGTTTGGCTGGATGCAGCAACACAGATCTTCTACTCGTTCGGACTCGGCTTTGGTGGACTGATCGCCTTCTCCAGTTACAACCCACGAAATAATAACTGTGAACGAGATGCCATTATTGTATCCCTAACAAACTGGTTCACCGCCATCTTGGCATCTACAGTCATCTTCTCTGTGCTTGGCTTCAAAGCCACGACCATGTACGAAAACTGTGTGGAAAGGTACGTCTTTTATCATAAACTGTACACAAAAAGCCTAGGTATAAATCATACAATACACTATTATTGAAAAATATGATAACATGGTACATAGATGTAATTCTAAATATGTCAATTTTAAGATATGAGAAATACAATTATTTTACCTGTCCTTCTTGTGTCAAATATCTCAAAGGAAACATTATGCATAGAAGTTTTATGGTACCAATTTTTTAAGAAAAAATCTTCAAAAAATATTGAGATAAGGAATTCTGATATTTTTTCATTGACCTACAATGAAGCATTTAATTTATATTATCTTCCTTGTGACTAAACCTCCCATACACCTTAAGTCAGTCACTGTAAACATATAATTCTTACCTTTTTTTCCCTTACAGGAACATGGAAAAGCTAATTGAAATTTACCCAGAATGGAATGCGACGACACTAACTATGGAGGTGTATAAAACTACTTTTGAGAACAATGAGACCTTGATGAATTCTTCACTGGCACATTTCCGATATTGTAATTTCCATGACGACTTAGATAAGGTAACTAATAGATAGAATTTCAAAAAATAATATCTACTTTTTTTGTCCAATAGCAAATCTACTAGGATTGCCCAATTGTAAATCTGCCCAGTTTTTCAATAGTAAATCTGCTAGGACTGGCCAATAGGAGATCTGCTAGGACTGGCCAATAGTAGATCTGCTAGGACTGGTCAGTAGTAGATCTGCTAAGACTGGCCAATAGTAAATCTGCTAGGATTGGCCAATAGTAAATCTGCTAGGACTGTCCAATAGTAAATCTGTTAGGACTGGCTAATAGTAAATCTGCTAGGATTGGCCAATAGTAAATCTGCTAGGACTGGCCAATAGGAGATCTGCTAGGACTGGCCAATAGTAGATCTGCTAGGACTGGCCAATAGTAAATCTGCTAAGACTGTCCAATAGTAAATCTGTTAGGACTGGCCAATAGTAAATCTGCTGTGACTGGCTAATAGTAAATCTGTTAGGACTGGTCAATAGTAAATCTGCTAGGACTGGCTAATAGTAAATCTGTTAGGACTGGTCAATAGTAAACCTGCTAGGACTGTCCAATAGTAAATCTGCTAGGACTGGCCAATAGTAAATCTGCTAGGACTTGTAAACCTGCTAGGACTGTCCAATAGTAAATCTGCTAGGACTGTCCAATAATAAATCTGCTAGGACTTGCCGATAGTAAATCTGCTAGGACTGGCTAATAGTAAATATACTAGGACTAGCCGTTAAGAAATCTGCTAGGATTTTTTTAGAGGCACTTGTTGTAATATTTTTGGTATAAACTCTGTTCTATATTAAGTCTTATTTATGTCGCCATGTACATATTCAATTCTTAATGCATCTATTTTTGGATGTTGGCATGTCAAATTGTCGTCAAATTTACAACTCTTCTATGTTTCATGTTGTTGTTTGACAGATGAATCTGTACACTGTCAGAGCTGTGAGTTATCGTTTCATTTCTGACTCCGACATCATGTAGGTTAGTCTCCTAGACATCTGTGTCACGACATGCAGTCATAGCTGTAGAATTTGTCTGTTTGATTGGTATGCCATATCTGTTTGTGGCTAATTATATACAGACGGACGGAAACAACCAAAGTACATTACATGTTTCTAGGAAAGTAGAATCCTTTATGAGCCGCTAAATACTGGAACCATGTAAAAGTACTTACATTAATAAATTATCTTAAATTATTCGAGAATGAATTAAGGAGGTTACAGGTTCTGTGTACAGTATAAAAATATTAGTGGGAGATATCTGTTTGAAAGTATAGTGTTTCTTTCTTGTTTCTACCAATTTTTATCACCCTTTTTTTTTTTTTAAATATTTATGTTTTTTTATCAATTTCTTCCAGAAAATGAACTTTTTTTTTCAATTTTGAATCAAGTTCAAAGTCTAAAACTCTGTACCTGATAAAAAAGAAATTAGATTCGATGAAAAACGTCATATCTTCCAGCTGTCACTATTCATTTCATTTCGAGTGTTCCAACTTTTCAAACAGATTTTGTTGAAATATTGAGCGTTGTAGGATCAAGTCAAAGGGGATGCATGGAATTTCTTCACCTGTCGATAAATTCAAGGTCTTAGAAAGCGTAAATAAAAGTGCTGTTATCTGATGAATCATATCTGGTATCATAGTTGAACCTGTTAGGCCAAGGTCAAGGTCACTAAAATGTCATAATATTCTGAATGCCAACAATTTTTACTCCCCTACAGGGCAGTTTGTTTTGATAGCGATTATAGTCTTTTCCATTAAAGTAGTATCAGTTACAACAGGTAAATTTACGAGTAAAACTTTACCTCTTGGCACTCCGCAACCGGTATAACTTGTATTTTGTTTTATTTTTCAAATTTTTGTTCTTGAGACATATTTTTAAATATAAATATTTAAAGGGAAATCATCCAACACAATAATTTCATTTATTTTATTTTTATGTTTTAGTGCTGAATGAAGTCAAACTTCATTATTCAGTACTGTGGATTCATTTTATTTCGTGGGGGTCCAATTTTCGTTGTTTTCGTGGATGAGCAAATCCACGAATTTAAAAACACAACGAAATATGAACTACTTACTAAAGTAATTTTGAAATTTGACCAAGTAATCTTTGCCGACACCGGAAACGTCCACCGGTAATGACAGAAGCCCCGTAATTAGTCGGGAGTCGGGTAGTCTGAGGCTCGACATGGATACGCTAAATTGGTGTCAACGATATATAATTATATATTATTAAACATAACAAAGGGTAAGTACCCATTGTGATGCTAAGTATGATGGGATTCGTTAGCGACACTGTTTTTCGGACCATCCTGTCGATTGAAGAGATCCGTATTTCTATCCGACTACATGTTCACAATAATTATTAATAATGCAGATCTTGTTTACACACCTGTTTACACACATGGTCCAATCGTTACGCGTGGTGTTTTCATATGACTGCGGTACACCACTGATCAGCACACAATGTTTATCCACTGAAAACAATGATAATTACCGATTGATTACACGCCAAGATATATACTGATTTGTGGTTTGATATTAATGCGAGACTGTTGTAAACAGCGTTATAAAAACATAGGACGCCATCTTGAAAAAAAACGTTCTTTTATTCTTGTCATTAGTGTTAATTCCTGTGAACATAGCCTTAATACAAACAGAAAAAATTTCGACTGGAAGCAAAAAGAGAAAATTCTAACGATTATTTTTTTCCCACAGAATCAAAAATCCACGAATTTATGAGTCCACGAAACTGTCTAATTTGTAGAAACAACGAAAATTGAACCCAACGAAAATAAATGAATCCACAGTATTTTTCATTAAATGAAATTTATATATTTAGTTTCATATCTCAATCATATGAAGATAGATTGTGAGAAACACAGGTAGATCTCAGGTAAAATTCCACGTAAGAAAAGGGCAGATTAAATGAAATTGTATATAATTGCCATGCCATTGTTTCCTAAAACAAAACCATCCTATTGTTAACAAAAATGTTGGCACTCACAGAACATCCCAGTTCAATATGTGTTAATATTGCTTATTTGATCTCTGATATGATTGTGTAGAGTTAGTAAAAGACACTATCAGGCCCTGGAGTCGTCGTCTAAAACTAGTAAAATCAAATGATTACCACTACAAATGGTTCCATCCTACTGAGGGGTATACAGGTCGCCCCCTCACATTGCCAGAACACTGATGTTCGTCGGTGAGGCGATACACGGAAACGGGAGGAGTTGCGGAGACGGAAAAACCTGTCATCCTACCAACCAACTAACAATTCTATAATATGATTAGACAATTTCTGGTGTATCTGTATCTATTTCACAGGTTCTTCAGTTTAAAGAAATTTCAGGATTTTAAATGTGAACACCTTGATGTTTCAGGCAGCAGAAGGGACCGGATTAGCTTTTATTGTATTCACACAAGCCATTAACGAGTTCGGACCTTCTGCTCCATTTTGGTCCATCATCTTCTTCCTGATGCTTCTGTCCCTGGGAATTGGCAGCGAGTTTGGAACACTAGAAGGAGTAACAACATGTATCTACGATCTCGAAAGTCATCCGTGGCTCAAAAAGAAATGGCTTGTCTCTGGTATGTTTAGTTTCAGTCTCAAGTGACTCTTCATTTGTCAAAATAGATTAGAAAAATTATTTATTTCCTACAATGATAAGTTTTGTTGTGTGGTTGAGGAGGTAGATATCTACATTGGTAAGTTTTACTGTGTGGTTGGGGTGGGGGTAACATGGACATCTTTGCGAGAATCTCGAGAATCCCTCTATTCCTGGCAGATTGGCAAAAATGGTTGACTAGCTTATTTATAGGGGAGAGCTTGTTTACGTAAAAATGCTGTTCTGCTTTTGGTATATATAGAACATACTGACTACTTATACATTTCACAAGTGAGAAAGTCTTCAGAAAAGATTTATACCTGTCTACAAGTACAGTGATATAGGGTTGCCAGTCATTGGCAATGTAGGAGATTATTTACTCATAAATCATTTATGCTATTCGTAAAAAATATATTACCCTAAATAACCATCATTTGAAAAGCATTACAGTATCATATATCTGTACACACCTTTACATTACAATGTTATATACCTGTACACACCTTTACATTACAATGTTATATACCTGTACACACCTTTACATTACAATGTTGTATACCTGTACACACCTTTACATTACAGTATCGTATACCTGTACACACCTTTACATTACAGTATCATATATCTGTACACACCTTTACATTACAATGTTATATACCTGTACACATCTTTACATTACAATGTTATATACCTGTACACACCTTTACATTACAATGTTATATACCTGTACACACCTTTATATTACAATGTTATATACCTGTACACACCTTTATATTACAATGTTGTATACTCTAACACACCTTTACATTACAATGTTATATACCTGTACACACCTTTACATTACATTGTTATATACCTGTACATACCTTTACATTACAATGTTGTATACCTGTACACACCTTTACATTACAATGTTATATACCTGTACACACCTTTACATTACAATGTTGTATATTTACACACCTTTACATTACAATGTTGTATACCTGTACACACCTTTACATTACAATGTTATATACCTGTACACACCTTTACATTACAATGTTATATACCTGTACACACCTTTACATTACAATGTTATATACCTGTACACACCTTTACATTACAATGTTATATACCTGTACACACCTTTACATTACAGGTGTATTGTGCCTCATTAGTTGTATGATTGGTATCCTGTTCGTCCTTGGGAGTGGATCGTACTGGGTCGCCTTATTTGACTCCTATGCCGGTTCTTTCCCCTTGATTAGTGTGGCCCTAACAGAAGCAATTGCCATTGGCTGGGTTTACGGAGTCAACAGGTAAGTCAAAGGGTAATCGTTTAAATATCGGATGGAAATCTGTCAGACCAAGCAATTCAAGCTATTGTGTTCTTACTGACCAGTTTCTCCTCTGTAAATATCACTGATTGTAGTATCTTAATAGCAAACTTGATCTAAACATCCTCATTCACATCATTAATGATCTGATCATCATTCAGTTTGAGACAAAATGGGGAGTTTGCAGACAATTTATTGGGATTGTTGAGTAATATTAATGTTCCTAATTAAAGAAATGCCAAGTTATATCTTCAATGGCTTGGAATGTGCTTCAGTGTTAATATCGAGGTAAAAGGTACACCATTATTCTAGGAGGTTTAAGGTAAAACTCACATCATTACAATGTGTTTATAGGGTTTGAGGTAAAATGACACGTTTTCATTCTTTTTGCAGATTTGGAGATGACCTTGAGACAATGATTGGTCACCAGCCCCACATCTACTGGAAGATCGTATGGAAGTTCATTGCTCCGTTTCTGATCGCAGGGCTCCTTACTTCCACGCTCATCAGCAAGTTTGTCAAACCCATCACTTACAAGGCCTACGACAGGGAAATAGTAAGTCATTTTTATCCTTTCTATGCCTGATTTCATCCCAGAATACTGGTGTGCAGGCTGGTACAATAGATCCACAATAGGTGAGACACAAAGAAATATGTATATAATGAGTATGACACTCGTACAATGGACTGGACAAGAGATATGTTTACAATGGGCAAGACACAGAGATATGTATTTAATGGGAGAGACACAGAGATATGTATTTAATGGGTGAGACACAGAGATATGTATTTAATGGGTGAGACACAGAGATATGTATTTAATGGGTGAGACACAGAGATATGTTTACAATGGGCAAGACACAGAGATATGTTTACAATGGGCGAGACACAGAGATATGTTTACAATGGGCAAGACACAGAGATATATTTACAATGGGCAAGACACAGAGATATGTATACAATGGGTGAGACACACAGATATGTATTTAATGGGTGAGACACAGAGATATGTTTACAATGGGCAAGACACAGAGATATGTTTACAATGGACAAGACACAGAGATATGTATATGATGCCTGAGACGTTGAAATGAACATTTAGTGTGTTATGTATAATGCATTGGTGTGTAAACTTGGATGCAGACTTCATGAACATAAAAAGAGTACATTTAGTCCTAATATTTTGATTCATGTTACATATGACATGAACTGTTACCATATACATATATATAGTGGAATATATCAATAGTAAGACAGTACTTATCTTTACTTATCTGTGATAGACAAATGTAAGATATCTTATACTTTCTGATTTTTATGTCTCTGCAGTTTTAGGGGATATGTAGACATATAGTGTTATTGTGTTGCCAACCTCTAGTTATCTAATATCTGGACATAGCACTTCAAAATCAAGGGTGACAGGACATTTTAAAGGGTTATCATATGTATTTAGATGATGTTCTATGTTATGTTTGTATTGTATAGCTATCACATCTGTATGTATTTATAGTTATCACATCTGTATGTATTGTATAGTTATCATGTCTGTATGTATTGTATAGTTATCACATCTGTATGTATTTTATAGTTATCACATCTGTATGTATTGTATAGTTATCATGTCTGTATGTTTTGTATAGTTATCACATCTGTATGTATTGTATAGTTATCACATCTGTACGTATTGTATAGTTATCACATCTGTACGTATTGTATAGTTATCACATCTGTGTATTGTGTAGTTATCACATCTGTATGTATTGTATAGTTATCACATCTGTATGTATTGTATCTCTGCAGTTATCACATCTGTATGTATTGTATAGTTATCACATCTGTATGTATTGTATAGTTATCACATCTGTATGTATTGTATAGTTATCACATCTGTATGTATTGTATAGTTATCACATCTGTATGTATTGTATAGTTATCACATCTGTATGTATTGTATAGTTATCACATCTGTATGTATTGTATAGTTATCACATCTGTATGTATTGTATAGTTATCACATCTGTACGTATTGTATAGCTATCACATCTGTATGTATTGTATAGTTATCACATCTGTGTATTGTGTAGTTATCACATCTGTATGTATTGTATAGTTATCACATCTGTATGTATTGTATAGTTATCACATCTGTATGTATTGTATAGTTATCACATCTGTATGTATTGTATAGTTATCACATCTGTATGTATTGTATAGTTATCACATCTGTATGTATTGTATAGTTATCACATCTGTATGTATTGTATAGTTATCACATCTGTATGTATTGTATAGTTATCACATCTGTATGTATTGTATAGTTATCACATCTGTATGTATTGTATAGTTATCACATCTGTACGTATTGTATAGTTATCACATCTGTACGTATTGTATAGTTATCACATCTGTATGTATTGTATAGTTATCACATCTGTATGTATTGTATAGTTATCACATCTGTATGTATTGTATAGTTATCACATCTGTATGTATTGTATAGTTATCACATCTGTATGTATTGTATAGTTATCACATCTGTATGTATTGTATAGTTATATCTGTATGTATTTAGATAATGCTCATTTTTATGTTTGAACAGTATTTTGACTTTAGTAGATCAAAACTTTACGTTGAAATTTCACAAACTGTTCAAAATTTAAGAAATATCAGGTGATTAGAATGTTATCCACAATTTAGTGGGTAACACAGTGTTACCTGTATCCTTTCATCCTTACTCATCTGGTGTTGTTCCTAATATATGTCAAATCTTCAGAACTTTTCAAGAGATTTCATTCATATTAACCATATACATTTATTAACATAACAGTTCTACACCTGAGGTGGCCATCGGTCAAGGTTAAAGGTCGGCACACTGTAATTTGATTGGTTTATATCCTTGTATTACACTTACATCTACTGTTTACAGGCAGAAATGACGGACAGATTCTATCCATGGTTTGCTGGGCTTATGGCTGCCTTCCTGGTCCTTGTGTCAGTCCTCTGTATTCCTGGCGTGGCAATTCTACGGAAATTGGGCATTCTACGATACAAGGATTATGCTAAAGGCGCTCAGGCACAAACAGGTGGTCACACCACCTCTACCGTAGCTTTCATGAGAACAGCTGCTGAAGATAATGACTCCGGACATAATTCTGATGAAATCAATGAAGATCAGGATCGTGGAACGAGCTGTGCTGTGATCGATGAGCATGTAACATTTGGATTAGGGACAGACAAAGATGTTTAAAAGAAAACAATAATTTTCATTAACAAAGATATTTTAATGAAGATGTTGTCTTCATTCAACTCTCAATTTGCCTTTAAAATCTCACTGGCTTGAATTGATTATGAATGTATCAGAGGGTTACTTCTAATGCTCTCATTGGTAGACCCATCAACTGACGAACAAAATTTATCAGATTAAAATTTTTGTTTATAACCTGATAAGCCCCCTCCCCCTGATGATCTCCTGTCAAAACTAAACATCACAACCCCTCACCATGGCTTGCCATCTTGAAGAAATACTTAATTGATATGGTAATTTCATGCCCTACCACAATGGGATATGTATATAATATATATATATACTGTAACCTTTTTATATAGACTTCGGGGAGGTTGTGAATTTTTTGGGTTTTTTTTCAAATTATAGGGTGCTTTTGTGGTAAAACGTAGTGGGATACTGTCTTAATGTACAAAGAAAAAACATAGAGAATCATTTGTCTTGATAGTGTTATGAGAAAATCCTGAAAATTTTTCAATGTCTGCTATTTACTTATTTTAACTGCTCGTGAAATGTTTTGTTAAGTTTGCTTAATTCTTTTTAACTTCATGAAGAGAACTATATCTACTGTTTCCTCCCCCTTAAGACCATGTCACTAGTCCACACACCCTGGTATAAGAAAGCAGGATAGGACCAGTGCAAGGTGTAAAACCATTTTTTCCCTCATGCAATAGAAATTGACAATATATTTTTAGGAGGAAGGGAGATAACTCTAAAATTTTAAAAGTAGGGCTTAATTGGCTTGTCTTTCTGTGACACTGGCAAATGCAGCTTTTGATTATTTACTTGCAAGTACATATCTATCAGTCAGATTTTTTTCAGTTAGTGCTTCAAAACTCATTTTCAGGTTTGAAAAAATTGCCTAAATAGAAATTATTTTTTGACTTGTCATAGAGTTGCTTTTTAATTTTTTTTTGACAATTGTAACATAACTGAATCCTTGATGTCTTTCATTGTCACATTGTTTTTTTCATTGTTGTGATTTCTTGTTTGTTTAATCATCAAATTCCATAGATTAACTTGGATTCAATTTCCATGGATTAACTTTTATTTAAATTTCATTGATTGACTTTGATTCAAATTCAGTGGATTGACTCAGCTTCAAATCCCATTGATTGACTCAGATTCAAATTTCATTGATTGACTCAGATTCAATTTTTATTGATTGACTTGGATTCAAATTCTAGGATTGACTTGGATTCAAATCCCATTGATTGACTCAGATTCAAATTTCATTGATTGACTTGGATTGAAATTCCATCGATTGACTGAATTCAAATCCCATGGATTGACTTGGATTCAATTTTCATTGATTGACTTTGATTCAAATTTCATTGATTGACTTGGATTCAAATTCTATTCATTGACGTGGATTACGTTTTAATCAATGCAATGTTTAGTTGACTTATTGATCTAATTCTGTGACCATCTTTAGTCATACAGGTGTGAGATTGTTGTTGAAATAAGAAAATTAATTTTATTTTCATATTACCAGTAATTCTACCTGTAAGAAAGTATGAAATACTGGCAAAAGTGAATTCAGTGGTGAAAGTGCTATTGTGTGTGTGTTACTGTAATTATATGTTGTGTTGTTATCACTGCTGGTTGTACATGTCTAGTACATGTTGTATGTGCAAGGTACATCATATACATGTCTGGTCCATGTTTTACAGGCCTGGTACAAGTTGGAAATACCAGGTACGTGTCGTACATGCCAGGTGCGTGTCGTACATGTCAGGTATGTGTTGTACATGCCGGGTACGTGTTGTACATGCAGGGTACGTGTTGTACATGCCGGGTACGTGTTGTACATGTCGGGTACGTGTTGTACATGCCGGATAAGTGTTGTACATGCCGGGTATGTGTTGTACATGTCGGGTACGTGTTGTACATGCCGGGTACGTGTTGTACATGCAGGGTACGTGTTGTACATGCCAGGTAAGTGTTGTACATGCCGCGTACCTGTTGTACATGCCGGGTACGTGTTGTACATGCGGGCTACGTGTTGTACATGCCGGGTACGTGTTGTACATGCGGGGTACATGTTGTACATGCCGGGTATGAGTTGTACATGCGGGGTACGTGTTGTACATGCCGGGTATGAGTTGTACATGTCGGGTACGTGTTGTACATGCTGGGAACGTGTTGTACATGCCGGGTACGTGTTGTACATGCGGGCTACGTGTTGTACATGCCGGGTACGTGTTGTACATGCGGGGTACATGTTGTACATGCCGGGTATGAGTTGTACATGCGGGGTACGTGTTGTACATGCCGGGTATGAGTTGTACATGTCGGGTACGTGTTGTACATGCTGGGTACGTGTCAGTTGCAGCGTAATTTCTGTTTGATTGAGATTTTATCAACCATTGATTTAAATATTTTTTTAAAGATTTAAACTATTTTATGGGGACATTTTTATGCCGAAGAATCTCGTGCTACACATTTTACTGACATTTTATGATAGTTTAATTTTACATTTGTCTGACCTCTTAGTAGATTAAGATGCAGTTATGATAAAAAGTCAGAATGTTTTGTAAGTGCTACTGATGTGATAGCTTATTAAGATTGCTACACATTACCAGGATTATACCTCATCATTTACCAGGGTAATTGTGCCTCTTTTGAGTTCTGAAGTAAATGTCTAACACATCTAACAAAATAACACGGACTTAATTAACAGCTTGTAATTCAGATGTTGCTCTTTTTCTGTTTCAAGAGATTATTTGATGTAAATTGTACATAACTCTTAATAGGGCACCTGTTTAAGAGAAAGATGATGGCGTTTTGTGAGAACACTTTCTGTCTTGTAGAGAATCAGAAGTTATAAAGCCATCAACATTTATCACTGTCTGATGTATGATCACCCTTACCCTCAAAATCCATATTACAATGTACAGTAGCTGTTCTTAAAATCACATTAAAGTAAAAACTGTCCAAGTGTCAAGTTACTTTGATAAAGGAAGGAGGAAGAATATTTAATTAAAGGGAAGACAAGAAATATATGCAAACTTTAAAAAAAAATTTTAAAATGCATTTTGGAGTAATTTAACAACAGTATGCTACTGTACACACTGAAAAGTGAAAATAGAATGGACAAACACTAATATGTTAGCTTGATTAAAAAAAAATGAAAAAGAAATGTTGACACGAAACATAACCGATATTATCAATTGAATATGTAAATTCAAGAAACAGAATCTCAGCTTGATTTTACATCCAATTTCAGCTCTGTATTTCTTCAGTATTTCCTTGTAACTGTCTGATGTAAACTTATATTTGTGAAGAGGTTGAATGATCTCATTTGCTTGTATTTTGACGTCTATGAATCTCATTTACATTTATCAAGATCTATAATTGTATCGGTCTATGAAATGCTTTCAGCTGTCTTAGCTTATTTGTGTAATGGAGTCAAAGTTAAATGTACAAATGTTGAAAATAATTGAACATATTAAATTTGGATAAATGTGGGAAACTTGGTCACATATATTTCATTTAAATAAAAAAATTTATGGCACCTATGGAAAGATAAGAAAATAAGAAAAGTAGGATATTTCCCTTGCAGTGATGTTTACATCTGATAAAAGTTATGACCTGGTGTAATGATCAGCTCTAAACATAGAAGTTAGTTAGGGTTTTGACTATCTATGTCCAGGAGATACTGATCACCCATAAACAAAACATAGAAACCTATAGAAGATCCTTCTGAACTATACATTGTTATCACTTATCAAAATTTGTGATAATAGCACCATATGGTAAGCATTGATTAATGGTGATCAGCCCTGATAGCACTAACTATATGGTAAGCTCTGATTTTATGGCTGTTATCAGCCCTGATAACACTAACTATATGGTAAGGTCTGATTTTATGGCTGTTATCAGCCCTGATAACACTAACTGTATGGTAAGGTCTGATTTTATGGCTGTTATCAGCCCTAATAACACTAACTATATGGTAAGGTCTGATTTTATGGCTGTTATCAGCCCTAATAACACTAACTATATGGTAAGGTCTGATTTTATGGCTGTTATCAGCCCTGATAACACTAACTATATGGTAAGCTCTGATTTTATGGCTGTTATCAGCCCTGATAACACTAACTATATGGTAAGGTCTGATTTTATGGCTGTTATCAGCCCTGATAACACTAACTATATGGTAAGCTCTGATTTTATGGCTGTTATCAGCCCTAATAACACTAACTATATGGTAAGGTCTGATTTTATGGCTGTTATCAGCCCTGATAACACTAACTATATGGTAAGGTCTGATTTTATGGCTGTTATCAGCCCTGATAACACTAACTATATGGTAAGCTCTGATTTTATGGCTGTTATCAGCCCTAATAACACTAACTGTATGGTAAATATTACTCCATGGTGCTTTCTAGTATAACTTCTTGTTGTCGTCACCACAATTTCTATTTTTTTTTCGCAAGGCAGCTATTCTGAACAATGTGATACAGCCAAATATTGCAATTATTTAATTAATTGGTTCATTAGTTATTTACATTATGAAGCTGTTGATTAAGGATGCAAGCTAAAAATTGTATCATTTTTCCTATCTCTGATCTTTTATGTGCCGGCAGCCATTTACAGGCGAGACTACATGTCCGTCCATGCTGTACAATTCACACTTAAATGAAAGTTAAGTTCGAAGCTCAATATTTGTTTCATTTTTAAAGCTAAAGGTCATTTTAAGACAAAAGCGCAGGATACTGATTAATTTGTTACAATCGTTGTTAATGTCCAGCAGAAATTCAATTCATACAACTTGTGATTTCAGATAAAAATCAATTTTTTATCTAATATCCAATTAGCATGGTTAATTACAAACCACTTAAATTGGATTTCATATTTCTAATTGTATGAAATTTAGTCAGAGGAAACTTGACACATAGAGGTGTTGTTTGGGGGGGCTCATTGCTGTATGTTGTATATAAAAATCATTATATGTACGT